CTCCTATGATGCTGCTTGGCCTGCTGTGTTCATCCAGCCCTGCACCTCTTTGTCAAATGTATGTTGTTTCTCAAATGCTCAAAGAGATTGAAGTCAGTTTGGGAAGACATAGACTCTTCTGTAAAGGAAGAGGTATCTAGTAAGTGATCTTAGAGGGATAGCTGAAAGAATTAGGAGAAAGAAATTTGCTTTTCATTTGTATGAAGGCAAAGGAATGGAGGTCACAGTAAAAGATAAACATAGGACTCTGGCAATCCTGCTTCACGCAAAGTGATCAATTTGTGGAAGAGATTTCCAAAGTGAGTGAGGCCTAAAACCTAGAAATGATTGAAGACACAATTGAATGTTGCAAAGGGATTACTCTAGTTTCGCTCTTAATAGATGAATTAACCTGGACTGAATAGTTTTCCTCATCATAATTACACAGTGATCTTGTAAATTGAAATGATTTGGTACGAAGCTAGCAATCTATGTCTGGCAATGAAAGTTAAAATTCAGATCCATTCAGGATTTTCAACATTTGGATTTCAGCTCAGAAAGCATCTTTTATGGATTGGGATGCTTGCCAAGTGGAAATTAATCTAAAACAGTCCCTCTAGATATTTAGACGTACTTTGCTTTTTCTTTCATTGTCTTTTTGTTTATGAAGTACAAAATCCCAAAAATGTAATTTAGAAGTGACAAGCTTTTCATTAAATTCAATAATGATAAACTGCCGATGGCTTTGAGCTTTACATAAATACTAACTCACATAAGCACATATACAGGCACAAGTACAGGCATGCAAGCACTTTGAAGTTTGGAAAATTTGGCAGGCACTTATTTGTATGATACTGGAAATTCTATTTGCAAGATATATGTGGAGGAAAGAATTTGGAATGGTATTAAAAAGGCATTGTGACATTTTGCACCAGAACTTATTGGAGTGTGAAAACTCCCAATATATACCATTAGTTAGATTTGATCATGCACACATTAGCATAAAAAATATTTTGTGCCCTAACTTGTTAGAAATGCTTCTTGACAAAAGCAGAGGCAATGAGGCTTCTAGGTGAATGGCAGGGTCAACATAATAACTTTTTTTACATACAAGATTAAAGGATTGAGATAAACAGGACTGACAAGGGAAGTGAATTAGAGGGCATGAATTCAATTTCAAATGAAATACAAAAGAAAAATAAGGAGAGCAGAGAACGTTTAAATTAAGAGAGAGAAAAAAAAGAGACAGAAAGGAAAAGTGTGAAAATTCAGCATTTTTAAAGTCTGAGCAACAATTCACTACTTTATTGAATATGATTCAACATTCCTGATTGTTCACTTTCTGGAGGCTGGTTAGATATCATTAACAATTAATTTTACAGAAATTTGAAAAAATGGTATCTTCTACTAGGTTAGGGTTAAACCTGACCAATAAATAAATAAAAGTTTACAATTTCTTCTTGTTTTGAATCCCTACATTGCAGAATGCTCTGAAGAGCATCCCACCCAGACCTAACCACCTTCACCCCACCCCCAGCCTGCCCCATAACCCCACATTTCCCATGGCTAACCCACTTAGACTGCACCTCCCTCGATATTACAGACAATTTACCGTGGCTAATCCAGCTAACCTGCACATCTTTGGACTCTGGGAGGAAATCGAAGCACCTGGAAAAAACCCATGCAGACACGGGGAGAATGTACAAACTCTACACAGACAGTCACCAAAGGCTGGTATCAAACCAGCTGTGAGGCAGCAGTGCTATCCACTGAGCCACAGTGCCTTTTAGCTTAATACATCCAGATGAAATACATTTGCTCATTATTTTGTGCTATCATGAGCCCAGCTAATGTTATTAATGGACAAATCAGATCCCAGGCTTGATAGATAATATTTGATTGTTTTTATTTAGCAAAGCTGTTTTTCACTGAAACACAAAGACACTGCTGCAGATTTGGTTTCAAGAATAAAACAGTTGTTTATTACACAAAAGAAATGATGATAAAGTAGAATAGCTGTCAGACTGATGGGTTGGTAATTGGCTGGTTTGATTTGTCCTGCTTTTGGTGTGCAGGACATACTTAGGCAATTTTCCACATTGTCGTGTAGATACCAGTGTTGTAACTGTACTAGAAAAGCTTGGGTAAGACAGCGGCAAGTTCTGGAGTACAAGTCTTCAGTACTTTTGCCAGAATGTTGTCAGGGCCCATAGCCTATGCAGTCTCCAGTATCTTCAACCATGTCCTGATATCATGTGGAGTGAATCGAATTGGCTGAAGACTGGTATCTGTGATGCTGCATAGTATTGGAGGAGGCCGAGATGGATCATCCACTTGGCACTTCTGGCTGAAGATTGTTATGAATGCTTCAGCCTTATGTTTTGTACTGGTGTGTTGAACTCTACCATCATTGAGGACGGGGATATTTATGGAGCCTCCCACTTCAGTAAGCAGTTTAATTGACCACCACCATTCACTACTGGATATGTCAGAGCCACAGACCTTAGATTTGTTCTGTTGGTTGCGAGCTCACTTAGTTCTGTCTATCACTTACTGTCTCTACTATTTTGTATGCAAGTAGTTTGTTTGGTAGCTTCACCAAGTTGACCTCTTTTTTTTGCATGCTCCTGGCATGGCCCTCATGCACTTTCCATTGAATCAGTGTTGATCCACTGGCTTGATGATAATGGTTGAGCGGGGGATATGCCAGGCCATGAGGTTACAGATTGTGCTGGATTGCAATTCTGCTGCTGTTGATGGGCTCACCCTTGAATCGCTAGATCTGTTTGAAGTCTGTCCCCTTTAGCACAGTGATAGTGCCACAGAACATGATGAAGAGTATTCTTAATGTGAAGGCAGGACTTTGTCTCCACAAAGACTATGCAGTGGTCACTCTTGCTGATACTATCATGGACAGATGCATCTGCAGCAAGCAGATTAGTAAGGATGAGGTCAAGTCTGTTTTTTTCTCTATTGTTGTTTGTTAGCACTTTACAAATCCACAAAACTGAGTTTACAATTTCTCAGCTTCAAATAACCTCTTGAGGATTCCGGCCAAACAGTTCTTTGTTAACAGTTCCATGTACATTTTCCAGGAGAACTGTTTCATACATCCAACTTCAAACAGGATGTCCCTGAACTGAAACCAAAATGTTTCCCAAGCTATAGGTGTTTCCCCTAACCAAAACAAAAGAACAGTTGACATCCTTCTAATTTAAAGCAAGCTAACAGTCTTCAATGTTTCACTTTGTCTGTATTACATGCCTATCGCAAAGAAAACCCCATTATGTTCCAAAACAGTCTCTCTTATGGACTCGACTTAAAGAAATCAATACTTGAGAAATTCTGATAAATTAATCATTAAACATCCCCAGGCCAAAATACAAATGCCACTAGTCCAAAATCCAAACTCTAAAAATATTGTATTAAAATATTTAGAATTACACAGTAAAGATGATAACCAGATAGAAGTGACAGGGCTGAAGATGTCAAGCATGTGTAATACTAAAATGAGCAAAATTATTTTCCTGGAGAAAATGAATCTGTAACTTGTGGTAATTAGGAGTAAGTGGGCAAAAATTCCATCGCAAACTATCCACACTGGAAGGTAGACACAAGGGAACAGAAGTAAATTTGCCCTTAGACATCAGAATAAACAAGAAGGTCATGGGTATCAATTAAACCCCTTGACACAACTCACCAGTTAGAAATTTAGGCATTTTAGTACATGCCATGGCTCAGGGTTAAGTCCAGGATAGTAAAGGCAGTCAAGAGTGAAATGAATGGAAGGCTCATAACAGCCTGCTATTATCTTGTGAAGCGAAGATGAGCACTCTCTGCTCATAAAATACTTTTATGTTTTCATATTAATGGCTATCCAGCAATGTCTTTAATGGGTGCTGGTTATGATGTTCAAAATCGGTAATGCCCACCGGATCTTAAGCATTGCAAGGTCTATGTACGTCAAGCAAGTTTTCAAACAGCATTTGAAATAGTCCATGAGACTTATTCCAAAATTTCCACCTGAAATAAAAGTGCCCAGCCAATTTTGTGGTAACCTGAACTCCCCTACAGATGGAACAGCAGCCTATGCACTAAGTTGGTGTCATTGCAACATGTGTTGACCCATTAAATGGGAACAGAAATGTTAAATTTAGAATCCAATGAGAAATGAAAAACCAGTTTCAGAAGGAGATTTATTATCTTGATGATTTGGTTAACTCATTCAGAAATGCATTGAAGGTTGCATTACTTTAAAGTGATGAATGATACAATTTGCTCCTTAATCCCGCAGTGATTGATGCACCAAGCCATGTAGAAGTAAACAAAGTCACAGACTCCACTGCTCACATTACCTGGTTCAAGCCAGCTGCCCAAATTGAAGGAATTAGACTGTCCTATGGGATTCCAAATAGCGAGAAGACAACTATTGACCTTCCTGACACAGAGACAGCCTATTCCATCGCCGAACTTCACCCGGATACCGAATATGAAGTCTCTCTGGTTTCCAAACGAGGGGACATGAGAAGTGTTCCGGCTGTCAATACATTCACAACAGGTAATCAATATTTTAAAATTACTGAAATCATTTATAACAACTGGTCTTCAGCCAACCTTTTCTCCTTTCTCTGGCAGTCCCATTTCCATCACTCATGTCACCCAGTTTCCTCCCTCTCTCTGTCTGCTGCAAAGAACCTCCCATTTCAGACTGTTCTCTGTCACTCCCTTGTACAATCCTCACTGAGCCACTGTTATGCTAGCTCCTGTCCTCATCCTACCTCATCATTCTGCACACTCATCTCTGCATCTGCATCTCATTCATGCCAACTCACCATTGTTCGCTTAATGTTGTCGACATTTTTTTTTTTTAATCATGGGCTTATTTAAGAAAAGTTGTAAGGAAAAGCCTGGGAACTATAGACTGGTGAATCTGACGTCAGTGGTGGGTAAGTTGTCGGAGGTAATTCTAGAAGATAGGATTTACATGCATTTAGAGAGACAAGGACTTATTAAGGATAGTCAGCATGACTTTGTGCATGGGAAATCATGTCTCACAAACTTGATTGAGTTTTTGAGGACATAACCAAAAAGATAGATGAGGGTAGAATGTTAGGCATGGTCTATGTGGACTTCAGTAAAGCCTTCAATAAGGTTCCGCATGGTAGACTGGTTAGTAAAGTTAGATCATGAGGGATTCAGGGAGAACTCATCAATTGGATACAAAATTGGCTTGACGGTGGGAGGCAGAGGATGGTGGTGAAGGGTTGGTTTTCAGACTGGAGGCCTGTGACCAGGGATGTTCTTCTTCTGGGTCCACTGTTGTTTCTCATTTTCTAAATGATTTGGATGAGAATTTGTGAGGCATAGTTAGTGAATTTGTGGATGACAATAAAATTGGTGGTATAGTGGACAGTGATGAAGGTTATCTAATATTACAAAGAGGTCTTGATCAATTGGGCCAATGGGATAAGGAGTGGCAGATTGACTTTAATTTGGACAAATGCAAGTTATTGCATGTTGGTAAGACAAGCAAAGACAGGACTTACACAGTTAATGATAGGGCCCTGTGTAGTGTTGTCAAACAGAGAGACCTAGGGGTTCAGGTACATAGTTCCTTCAAAGCTGCGTCACAGGTAGACAGGGTGGTGGAGAAGGCATTTAGCATGCTTGCCTTCATTGCTTGGACCATTGAGTATAGGAGTTGGGATGTCATGTTGCAGTTCGTGGATGTTGGTGGAGGCCACTTTTGGAATACTGTGCACAGTTCTGATCACCCTACTGTTGGAAGGATATTATTAAATTGGTAGATGCAGGTACAGTTAGAACATTTAAAGACATTTGGACAGGGACATGAGTAGAAAGGTTTAGAGGGATTTGGTCCAAATGCCAGCAAATGGGAGAAGTTTAATTTAGGAAACTTGGTCAGCATGGATAATTTGGACTAAAGAGTCAGTTTCCATGCTATATGACTCTATGACAAATTTATGCTGGTTTGGCACTATTGCACAGAATAGCTGTACACAATATCATCTTATGTGGTTATGTCAAATGTTAATTTATTATTTGAAGGATGGTACGTAAATGAAAATTGTTGTTGTACTACCATAGAATATTTCCATTGGTGGCGAGAATTGATATCTTGTATATTACAATCCATTCATGTTTCAGTGTCTTTGCAAGGAAAATCTAATTATTTGAATTAATTGATTGAAATGCAGGAGTGCGAGAATTCAGTAAAAATATTTAATCAAATTATTTTCATTTTTTTGCCTTTTTCTGTCCAATACCAGAATACCAATACTGTGCCCCAGAATCTTTGTGTTCCTCATCACCTGTGTTCTTATGTGCACAGGCATTTTTTTAAGCCTCTCGTTTGGGGCTACTCTTTGCCTTTGCAGTATGTAACTGACCTGTAACGTTATTTTCCCTCAGATCACGTCCATGCATTTCCATGGTAATCTCAAGTAAGGAAAGTATAATCACTGAGCTATTCATCCTTCCTGAACCATACACGTGTTCAAAAATGTTTTACAGATGTTGCTATTTCAGGCTTGGAACTTAGTGCATATCCTGCTGCAGCTCTGAAACAATTGCCATGCCTTTTACAGCCGATACCTTTGCACAGTGAATCTACAGAACTAACACCAGCATATAATTATGTCAAATTGCTAGACCTTCACTCTAATCTTGAAACTGATAAACAACCAAACTGTACAATGAAGCCAACTTGGTCAATCTAGTATTATTATACAGTTTATTTTTTTGATAATTAATAAATATCTGAATGTTGCTGTTATCACTTTATTACAGTTTTCAATATCCCATAATAAACGCCATTCAATCGTGACAATGTTAATTAATTTTCTCCACCATTTCTCAAGGAAGTCATTTTTATCTTAGAGTAAGTTAAAGCTTGAAACTGTGATCCTTATTCTTCAAACTGCTTCTGATAAGTGTCCATTACACTGTAATATACAAAACCCTGTTTTGTGATTAAAGACTGTACTCTTTTAATTCACTGCTCTTGGTATAATTCAAAATCCTCTTGTTTCCTCTTTCATTCCTGCTCAATTTTTTTTTATGTCTAGACCTTGATGCTCCCAAAAACCTCAGAAATGAGTCTCAAACAGATGAAAGCATCACCTTGGAGTGGGAGAACACCAGAGCTGCTGCCGATAATTACAAGGTTAAATATTCACCACTGGCAGGAGGAGAACATAGGGAACTCACTGTCAAAAGGAGCAATCAATCAACTACTAAATTTAAGATTTCTGGTAATATTTACGACTCATTCCAGGGCAATTTTCACAATGTGCAAACTGACATGAAATCCAACACATTAATGAGCTTGAGACAACAAGGTGCAGGGCTGGATGAACACAGCAGGCCAAGCAGCATCATAGGAGCAGAGAGGCTGACGTTTC